CTCCGGGGAGTTGCGTTCACCCCGGAGCGCTGGCGGAGTTGGGCGGGCGGCCGGGGCGGGGGAGCGGCGCTGTCGGCGGCTCTGGCGAGTCCTCGGATGCCCCCGGGAGCTCCTGTCCGAGGGAGCTCTCCTCGTGCCCGCGCCGCGCGCTCCTGGGGGTGCGCGCGCGCCCCTGCTGCGCCCCCAGCCCTCACACACCCCTGCCTGCCCCCTCCCAGTCCCCTAGTCGTGCACCTTTTCCACCCTTAGAAGTTACCCCGGGGCCCCTTCTAGGAGGAGAGGCGCAGGGGCGGGCCAGATGTTGGGGGTCTTTTGTGCAGACACGCGCTTGGGGCGCTCCTGGAAGGACAGCGGCAGGACAAAGCAGGCTGGACTCGTGGGGCACTGCTTGGGAAGCGGCGGCCCCTGCTGCCCCGTGGGGCGGGGGTGTGGTGGGGGAGCGCTGCTCGGTTTCGGAAAGAGTAGAGAAATCGGCCAAACAGTGACGGTGACTTGCTGAGGCGGACACCGGCAGAAGAAGGATGCTCGCGAATGCAGCGCTGGTGTCTGTCTGGGCGGGCGCTGGCGCCGGGCATTGCCATATGGCTGGGTTTACCTCGTATATGTTGCCAGGGTGTCTTTGCCCGGAGATATTATTCTCCACCCTCTCGGTTCTCTTTCCTTTTGAGAGATCACTATTGCTGATCGAGGCTCTTCGCAGAGAACTTGGGGGCGGGGGAGACTGCGGAGGAGGGGGAGGTGGTTATTTATCCTAGCGAGACAATTAGGTCCCCGGCCGCCAGCGCCCCCGCGCCCCGGCTGCCCGCCTCCACCTCCCCCTGTGCGCCCACTCCAACCCCGCGGCCCGCCAGGCGCTTGGATTTCTTTCTCTGCTGCGCGTATCTAACCCTTACCGCATGTGTTTCACTGCAGGCTGGACAAAGCTGTCTCAATCGTGCTTCCTGCTTGTCAGCCTCTAGCTCCCCAAACGCGAACCATTTCCACTTGATGTCATCACGCAGGAGGGGGTGAAAGGGACTCGGTGACAGATTCAGGTAACCCCCAATAATCTGGGTGTCTCTGGGTCATTTGGGCCAACAGGGCTGGCTCAGGGCTGTACCGGGTGGTTTCTGCATCAACCTCCCTCCTACCGTGTGAAACAGTGGCGGCTGCCTAACTCCTGGTTCTGAGACAGAAATTGCAAATGACTTTATACCTTGCTTTTGAGAAAGTCACTGGGGGCAGATGCACTTGGGGGCTGCATAAATGCGGCTTGGTTTTCTCCGACGGGAACTCGAATCCCGCGATACACAGGCAGTGGTGTCTGGATGTGAACTGCAGATACATGGCAGCTTTCTTATCTGTAGTAGTATATTTTGGCTTCAGTCTATAGGTGGGGTATTGTTTGTTGAAAAGGTAGCATTGTAAGGCTGATAGCGTTGTCAGGCTGATTATAAATCTGACCAGTGCTCAATTAGGGCATTGGTCAAATGCAGTGACCTTCTTATGAAATAATGTCTGTCCCGCATCCCTTCACTGTAATAGTGTTTGCGATAGCGGGAGAGGCGAGCTGGCAGTGAGCTGCTGGGAGGTGGAA